AGCACTTCTGAAGCAGCTATGACCTCCTGAAGTCGCCTGGGTTGGGACAGCCGCCTACCACAGGCTGGCTCCAGGGCTCAGTGCTGCCTGGCCCTGGCCCTTCTGAGGTGCCAGGGTCCCCACAGCGCAGTGGGCTGTCTTCTATGATTATTATATGATCCGTTATCTGACACGGCTGCAATCATTTACTCACATTACTTGGGACTATGTTCTATGATACTGTCTTAATTTGCAGTGACTTATTTAAAGTGGAAAGCAGCAGGTTTGAGTAGATTGCCATCTTTTACAAGAATTCTATGTAGCTATTCTAGGTTCCAAGTCACCTGAATTATTTAATCAAAAGTATTTTAAAAATTATCAAAATTCTTTCAAATGAATGTATCTTATTGTAGTTTGGCCTATGAAATATAATATATATGTTATAGAGCATGTTTGTGTTTTGATAGTTTATATTCTCAAGTTTGGCTAAAATGATGCTTTGAAAATGGCATTTTAAGTGGCCTTATTTTAGCATTGAAAACTGTTTTAAATGGATGTTTTTAACCAGAAAAACAATACTTAGTCAATGTAAATTATCATTACAGAGAAGAAAATTAAAATATAATAAACACATATCCTACCAAGTTTTGTGTTCCCTGAAAGCAAAAACAGTGTCACCGAGGGAACTTTATATGCTCTATAAAGCCATTGCACCTTTATTTAAAAATCCCATATACTAGAGCAGTATTAGGATATCCCCTATATTGATCTTACATTCTACACCTTGAATATTTCATTTCACTGAGACTACAAGCATGTGTCACAGGAAGCAATGCAACATGGACCAGAGCCAAAGGAAATGTTACCATGCGCATCCTTCAGGCAACTCAGCTCAGGCCGACCAGCCACGGCTAAGAAACACATGCAAATATCACAGTAGGGACGAGGATATTCCCCATCTTTCCGATATACAAGGAGAGTAAAGAATTACCTCCACGTGCAATCCCTTTCATTATCAGCATTATACCTGCCACGTTGTGAAGTAAAGGTGTAATACCTGCACAAGATGTAGGGCTTTAAGTCTAAGAAATCCTTAAAAGACTAAACCAGAACATTGATATAAACAAAAAAGGAAAAAACCTAGATACATGTTTACCATTCATCACTCAAAGGAACATAAAACCCTTTGAAGAGCAAGAAAATACACCTTGAGGCATATAGTATTTGGGGGCAGAAAGCACTATTTTAGTTGAAAATGTATTAATGAATCGATTCCTCGTGTTTTATATAATTCTTAGAGGAAGTTCAAATTAAGTCCCCAAAAGGAGGTTTTAATTATGAGAAGCAATATTTGGAAACTCTCACAAGCCATCACACTTGTTTGGAAACAAATGACTTCTCAAGATGTAGAAGTATTACTATCAATCACCAACAAGTTAATTCTACATAATAAGGCAGGTTTGGATGCAAACTGATCCATTGTGGAACGCTGTGTCTAAAATTGATTACAACAGCACTTAAAATGAATGCAGCCCTCCAAACCACTTCTTTGCTCAGAAACATTAATCTCAGTTAGAAAGAGAGCTTCATAATGGTAATGCTTGGAATAAAAAGTATGAAATAAATCAGTTTTTATAAGACACAACTATTAATCAGTTTTGAAACTCAGAAGGCTTTTTTTTTTTTTTTAAAGCACAAAATGTCCATCAGGACTTTTAAAAGAGCTGATGTCTCCAAAATCAGGTTTTAAACATGTCCTAAAAGAAGCTCATGACATAATTTTAGAGACTTAGTTGTTGAAACTTTGAGGCACCACTGTATTTTTGTGCTAGTTCTTCAATACAGTACTACTGCATTCTGAATGCATACTACATTCTTCTCTGGGACTGTCATTTCACGTCATACAACAGATATGAACACTGCCTTCGACTGAGAACTCAAAGGGATGCAAACTTGGTTGTGGGTCAGAGTAAAAGTTTGCCAGCAAAAATATGTTCTGAAAGTCAAAATGGACATTTGACTATCAAATGAAACACTGGGCACCTAAGCATCATGCACCTGAACTTGCTTAGCAAGTTCCCATGGTGCATCTTCAAGAAAAGGGCAGGCAGGCAGCGCATTTGGCCGGCCGAACACGCTGATTCCCGTAACTCTGAGTATGATACCGCGATGACATTCTGTAGCCACCCAGAAATCAAATTTTTAAAGGGTGAAAGTAAGTTTAGTAGAGAGGAGGTAATGCATTTATTAATAGAGTCAATAATATAATAAACTAATAAAGTTGTCTTTCTGGCACTTCTCTATCAGACTAAGGACCATCTTCTGGATTTATTTCCCAATACCATTCTAGGTAGGATAGACTTTAGTGTTTCCAAACACACTTTCACAGCTACTGCAAAAACATAATTTCTGGTTCAAGCTCCAAGTTGATCAAGTGTCCCTCATAGGTCGGTCTGCTCAGAATGACAGCCATACACAACTGCCTGGTTTCTTACTTGCTTGACTCTTTACAAAGAGAATTGGTTCACAGAAGCAAAGCTAAGAAAGACTAGCTTGCACTTGATAACTGGATTATTATTGTTCGGCTAGGTTTTCTTTTTAATGAAATGTAAAACTTTTCACTTTATTGATGTGCTTCCTTCTATTCAAAGATAAGCATCCTCTCTTTCTTTGTCTTCACCCTAATAAAGCAGGTTTCCTTTCCTAACCAAAGACTCATGACACGCCTACAAGAGCGTAGTAAGAAAAGCGTCTATCATTTACCTAAAATACTTCTTCCTAGAAAATAAACACAGTCATGCAAAATGATTCAATATGGAAGAAAATAACCACTAGTCACAATTTTACTATAAACTCATCTGCTTTATTTTAAATAATCAAGCAATCCTCATCAAGGTCAATATTCTTTGTCTATGGGTGCAAACATTAATGCTATTGGCACAAGCTATCAATATATTTTCCCAATTTATAAGGACTGGCACAGTTATTAGCATATAAATACATTTTCATATGAGTTGTGTAGTATATGTAAAAAGATATTTGTTTTACTTGAAGAAACTGTTTTTTTAACATAATATATATTCTTTTTAAAATTACCACAAATAAAGTAGGAAAAAACAGTACCTTTGAGTAAGAGGAATCCTAAAATCCAGGTAAGACAAAAGGCAAGATTGTTAAGGAAAATGCAAGAGGGAGAGAGATACACTTCTGAAATACATAACAGGATAACTACACTCATTATACACCCATCTCTGAAGAATTTAGGAATAATTTGTGAATGCCAGGACATTTTAAAGTGGGATTAACCCGTCTTATTACTGAACTAACCTCTCACTCTTTGAGCAAGCACTATATATTTGCTCTGCATTTAGAATCACAAATCGAAAGTTTCAAGGCTCTTGTAAGAATTTCATATATTAAGAAACACAAACTAGAAGTTTTAGATCATTAAAAACGTATTAAGGAACGCGCAAAGCAAGATTGCTGGTGTATTTGTAAAATCTTTTGTTTCAACCAAAACATTAAAATCTATACTGAATTTTAATTACACAGTGAACTGAATTCTAAACTCTGTTCCCAATATGCCAGAAAGACTACAAACACCTCCCCAGGTCGGCAATTGGGAGGTCAGGTGAGGGGGGGGGTGTGGGGAGGGGGGTTCTTTGTATTTTACACAAATTCACTGCAGGAATCAAGTCCCCACGTTCTGGTTAGTGGCAATGCCACCTTTGGGGGTCGCCTCCCAAGCTTTCCAGAGGCGCCAGCCCTATCCCTTTTCTCCCCCATGACAACAGAAGGGAAAGGTAATGCCGAACATATCTCTGTTTCTAGTGAAAAGACCACCCCGTGGATTCCGCCAGAGTCTACACTGTTTGCCACGTACACTGCCAGAAGATAAGAAAGTATTATAAAGAGACAGCCCTGTTTCTGGCGTGGCCCAGTTCTCTGGGGCCCCGCAGAAAAAAGTGCATGGACAGCGCTTGCTCTCCAACTTCCATGGTTCTCCCCCAAAAGTACCTGGGAACTTTTCTCTCACTCTAAATTATCATGACTTCAGAAAACAAATGAATGTGCTGTATTACACAACAGAATTACGTGTCACTCTCTACAGGCAATAAAAATGAGTAGCAGGTTACCATTACAATTACCTTAAAGGTGAGGCAATAAGAATGGAATCCGAACTGCATAATAAGGTGTTCAGCAGCGATCAGACCTAACCCACTTTAATCTAAAATGTTTGACGCTCAGCTCCTTCCAATCGTGTGTAAAACACGATACAGACTTCGACTGAGTTGCAGACTCAGAAATCTGTGATTTTGTAAATGCCCAGTTCAGAGTATCTTTCTGTTTCCAGCCCAAGCCAGAGTTTCCAGATCAAGTTTCAGTCGAAATACACCAGTCCACAAGCCACCCCAACCCCTGGAGCTCCCTCCTTCACTCCTTCCCAACTTGGCGCCCCGGTCCTTGGAGAAGCCTCGCTTCACTTCCCGGGAAAGTGGGGGCAACCCAGGGCTGCCCGCTCGCTGGACTCCACGCGAGATCCTTTCAGACACCTTCTCAAAGGACGCGGCGCCCCACCACAAAACTGGGGATCACCCCGATCGGAGCAAGAGCGGCTGGGCTCCCTGCCCCCACTGAGCGCCCAGCCTCTGAGCTGCCTTTCTCGGGAACCCGGGAGCCGGTGGGAACCTGGGCGGTGCCTTGCTCCCCGGGCTGGAGGCCCCGGCAAAGTTCCCACCTGAGCAGGCAGCCCAAGGTGTCAGATGCGTGGGAGGGGCGGGGACGCGGAGGCCAGGGACCGGGAGGCCAGACCCGGGGAGGCTGTGCGCCGAGGAGATGCTTCTGGGCCACCGGAGCTGGCCAACTTGCGGCCGTCCTCCAGAGCAGCTCGGAGAAGGCGCCGCCGTCCTAGCCGGCCGCTGGCCGCTCCCCGCGCCGGCCCTCCCGCTTCCAGCGCCGCGGCCCGGGCACTAGGACCCCCGAAAGGAAGGAGGGCGCGCCGGCGGCCGCGCCGCACTTACCGCGCTGGCTCACCCGCGCCGCCGGCTCGCCACCCGGCCGCAGCCGCTGCGTCCACGGAGCAGCGCGCACACACAGCACTTGGCCAAATTCAAAGGAGCCGGGCGCGGAGGAGGGGGCCCCGCAGGGGGAGCGGAGCGGGGTTGGGGGGGGTGAGGGGAGGGGAGAGAACAGCAAGTGTTACAACTTCCTTCCGTGCCCACCGCCAGGCAGCGGCGGGCGAGGGACGCGGGAGGGGAGGGCAGCGCGCGCGGAGCGCCAATGAGTTCACTTTCTTTTTCTCCCCCGCGCTCTCCCCCTCTCCCTTCCCGCCAGCCCCTCCAGCCTCCTCCTCGGCTGCCGGCTGCCGGCTGCCGGCTGCCGGGGCCGGGCCAGAGTTTTCGGTTCTCGGCCCGGAGCGGGAGGATGGAGACGGCGAGGGAGGAGGCAGGGGGGAAAGCGAGGAGGCGAGCAGGGCGCCGTGCCCGGGAGCAGCATCCAGGACCGTCCGCGTGCGGCGGGGGACGCGCCGGCCGAGTGTGCCCGAGCCCGGGCGCGTACACGTGTCCGTGTGTGTGAGTGGGAGCGAGGAGCGCGGCGAGGAGCCTACCATGCGCTTCCCCCCGCGCGGATCGCGGGAGAGCCCAATCCCGGGGCGAGCCGCGCCGGCTGCGATCACTTATAACCCTGGCCTGCTCCACTCCGCACCTTGTCTGGACGACAGGTACTTTATTTCTCCTCCTTTTTTTAATTCACAAAAAGAGATTTCCCGTTTGCTGCCTTTTTCTGTCAAATGGGATTTGCCGGACTGAACCACGTTCGCTGCCCCTCCCTCCTCCCGGCCGCGTCGGGCTCGGGAAGGCGCGGAGGCTCCCCTGCTGTGGCCAATCAGTGCCTCTACTACTCTTGCCGCGATTTAGGGGTCATCCGTGAATAACACTTCACGCTGATGAATGGCTCTTGCCGCCGTTCGGCTCTGATGAGGGGTCTGCCCGCCGCTGATTGCAAACACTAATGAACTTGCAGCGCTATTTGAAATTCACACGCACCAACACGGGGCGCGCGGGTACGTGCGTGGGGGTCTGTCCTTTTCATCTCCCGTGGCGGGAGGAGGAGCACGGGGAGGGGGCGGGTAATTGCTTTGGACCTAAGTGGAAACACTTGTGTGTGTAATCAAACCTCTAACCTTCTTAGAAAACTACTTTTCTTGATCTTCCCTAGGGTGGGCATTTCAGGTCAGCTGAGTCACCCGAGGAGGTGGCAGTGCGAGACACTGCCGGGAAGATGGATTCCGAGGCAGAAGGGTATAATTAAGGATTTCCACCCCCGGCAGGCGGCCTGTCCTTTGCGCAGCCTGTGAAAGTGACCTGCGCCTTCCCTTCCACAGTGTCCTCTCCTCCGAGACTGAAAAGCTCAAATGACCTTCGGACGGAGGAGGGGGACTTCAAATACTCAGACTTCCTTAACAAGCCCCAACTCGGCAACGTCGTAGGACGAGTGTCTGCCCTCTGGTTCAAGCTCGAGGACCTGCAACCAGCGCGCACCTGCCAGTGGGCGAAGTCTAGAGTCCACTAAAGGCTCAACCCAACCTCCTCCCTCTCTCCCTCCCTCTCCTCCCCCTACCGCCTCCTCTTTTCCTTCCCCCACCCCCTCTCATTAGCAGCTGAATACAACCCTAACCCTAACCGTTCCTGCCTTGACTTTGCTGGGGGAGGAAATAAAAGTTTACAGCTCTCCACGAGGCACTACTACTTTCTACTCACTCAGGCTCCCCAGATCCCGAGCGCCTGCGCCCTAGTGTGAGGAATGCCCACCAGGTAGTTAGAAGTCCCGGCTGCTCCGGAATTTTGGAACACCCACCCCTCAGCCTTCCCGGGACCGCTCTCGGCTCTTCTGCCCCTAGAACCCGTAGGCACCTCGCTGTTCCAGGGCAGCGCTGCGCCGGCCGGGGCTCACGTGCTTGGGATGGGCTGGCTTGGATGTACAGAGCGTGCACCCTGAGTGTAGCTGAGAATCAGTGCCCCGGGCCACCGTGTGACTTGCCCTTGCAAGTATGGCGGAGGGACTAGGGCGCTCCGAGCCTCCTTACCCCTCTCCCTATCCCAGCTTCAGAGCTGGGGATCCCACCGTCGAGGGGCACCGGAGGTCCCGGTGCCTCAGGCTAGAAGGAAAAACACCTGCGTTTCTACTACGTGCAGACTAAGCGCTGGGAAAACTAGAACAGTGCCTCCTCTCCTTGGAAAGGAAGGTCTGAGCCTTTATGATAGAATGTCTCCAAAGTCCGGGGTAGAACTGACGAGGACAATCCCTGAACTCGAACGAGTGTGCCCGGTCACACAGTCCACGCTCTCAAAGTTGCTGAAGTGACCCAGCCCCTGCTCCGGAGAGGCCAGCGCGGCTCGGCTCCGCAGGCGCGGGGTGTGCTGGGGGGAGGCTGGAGGGACCCGGGGTGGGCCAGTCTCCTTCCTGCCGGGGGTGTATTTCACACTTGAAAAAAGTAAGGCGTGGGGCAGACGATCGCCCCCTTCTCATCTAGCCATCCTCATTTTCTCAAAGAAAAAAAAAAAAAAGCAAACTCGTCTACTCCGAAGGTATGCCCCAGATTATACAGGACAATCACGCCAACGGCTTAAAATTAGCATCCCCAACATAAACCTGAAGGGTGTTGGATACATCACGTTTGCGATCCAGTTCCCACAAAAACACGAGAAGTGTTTAAAACTTTTCTAAGTGTCCAAGGAACACTTTCCCTTGCTCTTTCCTACCCCGCGATCTAGGAACGCGCGAGTAAAGACAAAGACTCCCTGCCCCGTCCAAAACGGGCCACAGGGAAAAAGGAAGTCGCTGGGAGAACAGGTGGGAGCTGGGCCCAGGCGGGTGGCGTGTTCCTCCCTTTCAGCTTTCTTCCCCCTAGAACCCTCATTATAGCTAACGCTGGTGATATGCCTAGGAAACAATAGGACTCATAAAATTTAGAAATGGTAATAAATCTTGCAGCCTGTCTGTAGCCCAGCGCGCTGTTACATGATATTCAAAGTTTTTCAGTATGTGATGCCGAACAGTCACACTAATTGGGTGCAATTTGGACAAAATACTGGAGAACTCATTAATAGGGCCTCGAGCGCTCCACGCCAAGCGTCGCGAGTGGACAAAGCGCTCAGGTGGCCTCCTCGCCGACTGTTCTCGCGTTAGGGGCGCAGCCTGTCCGCCATCCAGGCAATTTGTGTGTGTGAAGTTTGGGGCTTCGCGGGTCCATCCCCCCGCCCCGGAACAAAGAAGTCCCATCCTTTGAGGCCACTAGGAAAAGCTGATGTTGTGCTGTGCCAAACTAGAGCCCACGCGCTCTCCTCCAAATGCATCCCTGGAAAGCAAAGAGGCAGCTTGCTACGTGACTACCAGGTTTTTTCCTCGCTGAGCTGTTGTCAGGAGAGGGCGGGGAAGGTGGGGAGCTCATACCAGAGTCCTCCGCTGCAATGAAAACTCGAGTGAGCCCGAGGAGAAGTGCAAGACGTCGCTGTTTCTTCTCCAAACCTCTGGCTGTTCCCTGCAAACTCTGACTACCGCTGCTGGTACCCTTGCCTGGCTCACGCAGCGGCCGTGAGGAGGGATAATAGGACTAACTGGCTGGTGGCATCACCCTCCTGTGGGGACACCCCTTGTCACACTGATATATAGTTCATCAAAAAGAAAAAAAAAATGTTGCTGAGTTCCGCGGCAGCACCCCCGTCCCCTGCGCGCAGCAGAAAATGCAGCCTCTAAAAAGTCCTGGGGAGGAGGAAGGGAGTGGGCTGGTCCACTAGATTCCCGTGATGGGGGAGGGGGGAGGAAGGACTTGCCTGAGTCTTCGGGCCTGGGGTGGGTGGGACAGGGGCCGATGCGGGGCCGGGCCTGCGCAAGAGGCAAAGGCCAAGAGGAACATCCATTAACATCTCCCCTTAGTGTCCACCCAGCCCGGGAGGTGATGCCTGTCCCCTTCAGGCAGCATAACAAGCGCCTTCCCTGGGTGCTGCTGCCTGGGGGCTGTGAGAATTCTCTTCTGTCCTAAAGACACAGCCTGGGTGGCAGCTGCCCTGCCTCGTGTCCCTCCTGGGGGAGCCGCAGGGGGCTGGCTTCCAGCTGCGCAGAAGTGGAGCCCCGGCTCAGGGTCAGGCAGGTAGGAGGCTCTCCGCCGGGCTACGAGACACTGCTGGTCCTCACAGGTATCCCTGGGACTTGCGGTACCCACCCTAGCAAAGAGGAAAGAGCGCTGGCCTGCGGGGGGTGGGGGGGGGGACCCAAATCAGGAGCCGCAAGCTCCCCCACTCCAGGGGCCGTAGGTGCTGCTGCGGCGGAGAGACAGGGCAGCCCAGCCGAAGCCTAGGTGGGCACCCTTCCAGTCTGCCCCTGGGAAAGGCCAGGAAACATAGTAACCTACAGATGTCCAGCAGGAGGTTACCTCCCAGCAGATGCCCGGCTGGAAACTCAGGCTGAAGGCTGCTGGTCGCTGAGCAGAACCCCAGCCCTAGGCCCTGGGGTGCGGGGGTCAGACACATCAGCTGGCAGGAAGCAAGCAATCAGCTGGAGCCACTTCTGGCAGTGGCACTGGCCCTGAACACACAGAAGTTTCTCAAGAAGCTCTCCAGTTATTAGCAGGTGTGTGGGGGGATTTCCCCCCCTTGCAAAAACAAGTAACTTATTTCCCTTGGCTGTTAGATGGATGGAAACTATAAAACAAATTAGCTGTATCACTGACAAAGTCATGAAATGAAATGACTGTTGGGCGTGGGAAACATGTTGTCATTGCTTTAATTAAAGCAAGAGAGGCTTCTCCCGAGGCTCAGACACCTCTGAGCCACCCAGCGAACTGGCGAGGAGACAAAGCGACCCCTAAATGCGACCGGGCCCTTCCAGCACAGGAATTCATGTCCCGCTGCAGGACCAGCCGCTGCGGGGCTCTGACCTCTGGCAGAGACACAGTCGTGGGCCCTGCACCCCAGCTGCTGACTTGGTTTTGCCTGAACCTCATATAAGAGCCGCTTCCCGGACGGACTTGGAACACAGAGGCATCTGTCACGTGTGCCATTCCCAATTTTGGTTTAAGTCCATGTATGCGTTTCAGA